CGCGGCGCCACGCAAATAGTGTCAATATCGGCTCCTGGCTCGTTGACACCCAGTCTGTAGGACCCTGAGACTAGGATTTGACCGCCTGCATCTGCTGCCATTTCCTCTGGAACACCCCTTTCAATACAAATTTGTTTGACCCAGGAACGAAAGATAGAGCGAAGCTCGGCCAGGATTAATGAGCGACGCGTGATGTTGGCAGCCGATTCAGTCGGAAAGTGCTCGTCCATGAAACTTTGCAATTTGGCCGACTGCTCCAAGTCTTTGGGCTCCGGCGGCGTCTTCCGGATAGCCTTGTACGCCTGCTCTAACACGTGCGGTGCCACGGTGAACGTCGAGCTCTGCATGTGCAAATTGATCAAAAACAGGGAGGCTGTCGCTTCGGGTCTAGACACGGGCTGTAGCTTCGGTCTGTCGTTGAATTGGCTGTCGCTTGGCTTAGCTGATTGGTCGATAACAATCTAGAGTTGCATTGGTCGAAAAGAGAATAAGACTGTGATAATTATTCACCAATCAAAGAAGAAAAGTCGTCAATTATTGCCTCCGTTATGGACGACATCGAGACGCTCATGCCCCGAACCAAGTGCGTTTCACTAGCGCAACAACGACAATAGTCATATATTTTGGCTCTTTGACATGATTTATTCTTCACCTTTGTATAAGCAGAGCGGTCAATGACCGTGCATCTATCAACAAGGCCAAACTAAAACAGTACATGGCCAGCAAGGATGTAATTCTTAGTGTCGGAGCGTAAGATCAAGCCATTGCAACCACTTTACAGCTAGTCACTGACGAATGCCGTGAAATTAAAATTTCTAGTCGCTCGGGAGTTGTTGTGCGCGGTGATGTGCGCAAGGATGCTGAGGGGTTTGAAGATATTGATGAATTCTGGGTCGATGAGGACTCTATGCAGGATGACTCAGTAGACGATGAAGATTGTACGTATTCCTTTAAAGCTAGAAGCGAGCGATTAGATGCTGACAGTATTGTGACAAAAGCGCTCACATTTTCGGACAAGGATTCTGCGGACACGTCGGGGGATATTTCGGAGCCGAGCGAGCACGAGGTAGAGTTGCCGGGAATTGACAGTCCCCATTTGGCTGATCGTGAAGTAATCGGTTTGGCTATTGAGCCTGTATCGTCGTCGCGATTGCAGCGACGCATTGGGCTTATCGAGGTTGAAGAAAAAAGAGAGGATAACGCACCTTCATCTCCAGTGCGAAGTGATATGTCATTTGATTTTGGTGGTTCACCTCATGGATCAGTTGAAATGAACGCTGAAACAAACGTCACAATGCGAAAAAAATTGACAATTAAGGATGACAAGAAAAACGCAAAGTTACGTCGCGAAGAGTCGTCTAGTGGACATGACTTTAATGAAAGTAAAAGCAGTCCATTCACTATGGATGAAGGTCAAATGACTCCTTTATCAAATGGTAGGTCTTGCATACTAAAGTTTGCTTTTTACGTAGAATTTAAACTGGTGTGCTTGTTTGTCGTCTACTACTCCAGCTAGTGACCGTACATTAAATTCTATCCCTTCATTTTCCGACAAGAATTCACTTTCTCCAAATATCAACAAGGAATTGTTCAAAAAAGTTGATTCCAGAACTGATGGTAATGACGGCAGGCCAAAAACGAAAAAGGTGAAAACTAAAAAAGTAAAAGCTTCCGGTAAACAACCAGCGATTAGCTCAAAAAAGCGTCGAATGAGACCAACGGGCAATTACGGTTATCGAACCATGCCACCCGTGACTGACACTTCGACTCAATCTGTTCAAACTGACGAAGACAACGACGAATCGTTTGAGGCGCAAAATGACTCCGGTGGAGAAACCGGGGATGATAGTTTTTACAATGGACCAGAGGCTCCAACCGGCCCAGTGCGAGATCGACTGCCTAATGCTTCAAGAATCTTGGACGGCGAGGAGATAGACGATGTTTGGGATGGCAATGGACTTCGTCGATCTAAGCGAAGACGCTTCAAGCCGCTTGCCTGGTTTAAAAGTGAGCACATGGTGTATGAACGTACATTCGTAGGAGTGGGTACAGTAATGCCTACGGTTGTAGGGGTAGAGCGCCTTGGTCATGACTCACCAACATCGAGACGTCCAAAGGCCAAGCCACCGTCTAAAAGGATCAACACAAGTCGAGCTTTTACTTTAGAAGATTTACCAAAGGATGTGCAGAAGCGTATCATCGAAAGCGAATGGGCAACTCTGTACGATAGCCAGGCTGGCTGTATGAATGATCTAAACATTATTTGCCGTTCCAGTGAGATTCGTGTGCGTAAGTTACCTACAAAAGAGCGGGGTGGAGTGATAGTACATGCATACGCAGGACAAAGTTTTAATCTCTTTAGCCCATCCCCCTTTGCTCGGTGGATCTCAGGGCGGGTTGTGTTGCCTCCTGGAGCGTGGAAGGAACCCGAAGGTGTTGGCCAGGCAGTGCAATTGTTCTTCGTAACAGGATGTCAGCCAAAAGCGCTTGAGTTGGCTCTGGCTCCTGAGACAGACGACGACTTCTTTACAAGCAAGTATACAACGCATTTTCTGCTGAGCCCGGGCGACGAATTCTACGTTCCACCTGGTAATGTATACTACGTGAAGAATCATTCAAGTTCTGCGGACTGTGATTTGCGATTTACGATTTTAAAACCTGAAAGTCATTCAGTGCCGGATGATAATGAATCAGACGTAGAACCGAGGACGGACAAGGGGAATCTATCGGCAAACGAACTCAAATCTGAAGTAACCAAGGCTTCGAGCAGTCCGTCAAAGCGAAAGCAGAAGAAGGTCACGGACAATGACGGTGATTCTGACTCTGTTTAGGAAGTATCGGGCAAAAACGTAATAAGTTCGAATTGCCACGATTTGTGGATGAGCTTCTTGCGCAAATATCTGGAAACAATCGGTAAAAGTTAGGCCAATCAGCTACATAAGCTATAAAAATTTGGGTTGCGAGTTCAGTCGATTAATCTTTGGCTTTTGCCGGAAGAGATATGGTCCTCATAAAGGGTACGGATCTATGCAACTCGAGGTGGAAGCGTTATTCCTGGAGAGTGGTGGCATACGGGACCAATAAGCGCTCTCATCACCACTTCCGTGCTCTCCGGTTGAGCAAAAGATCCATACGCATGTATTTTTACTGCACTGCCCCGGCGGGTGATCTTTGATGAATCTTTTTCATAGTCTTGTAGTCATTTTCGTAACCTGCAGCTTAGACTGAAAACGAGAGGAGTACACGTAAATCACATAGCGACATATTTTTACCACAGGCCACAGATCGCAACAATACCATCAAATCATTTACATCCAAGGTCAGTCAGTACCTGCATCCAAGATCAGTACCTCGGATGCAGATGAATCGATGGTATTGCGATCTAATGAAGATACCGGTGATCAGATGACTTCATTCAAGTTTTAATGATTGCATTTCCAACTTTGTTGCGTGACCATTACCAAAAAATAAATAAAAAGAAATGTCTGACTGAAACGTCGATTGATTTTTGACTTTGTGAAATACAATGCACGACGTCGATGTCAAGGTGAACGCTCACGACCTACAATTTTAAGCTGTAAACAGCTTTGCCCATCCTCACGAGACTTCCAATTGACCAACCTGTGACGGGGCACACGGCACC